TGTGAGTTCTTCTAACAAATTATTGAACCTGAGAGGCATGGATCATGGGAACTCCTGAATTTGTAGTTGGCTGGGCAGCACTGGGGGAAGACTGGGCACCCCATTTGCAGCCAGCATCTGAGGTCTTAACCTGCGGGGTCCGTGCTAACTCTGGAGGGTTAGTGTCAGAATTGAATTGAGTTGCTAGACACCTAGCTGGTGTTGGAGAATCAGAGAATGAGTTAGTGTGGAAAAACTATTTGATGTCAGGGGAGGAAAAAACTTTCACCCCCCCAATAATATTTTGAATAATTTCACTATTCTTGGTTGCTTTATAACAAATATTTGTCAGATATTATTTTATATGAACTTTTAATATTTATCTTTTTTAATCTTTTTTTAAAACTAAATTTCTTTACTTATATTTTTTATTTTTGGCCACACTGGGTCTTCATTGCTGCGCGTGGGCTTTCTCTAGTTGCGGCGAGCGGAGGCTACTCTTTGCTGTGGTGCACGGGCTTCTCATTGCGGTGGCTTCTCTTGTTGTGGAGCACAGACTTTAGGTGCACAGGCTTCAGCAGTTGTGGCTCACGGGCTCTAGAGTTGCGGCTCACGGCATTAGTTGCTCTGCAGCATGTGGGATCTTCCTGACCAGGGCTTGAACCCGTGTCCCCCGCTTTGGCAGGCGGAGCCTTAACCACTGCGCCACCAGGGAAGCCCATTTTCTCATCTTTTTAATCTTCCTTCAGAACCGCATGATTAGTGTTACCTTATATTTTGATATATTGGCTTTAGACCCATCTTATTACTCTTCTGTAGAAAAAAAAAAACTTTGCTTCTCTAATCTTATTTCTTCAGAAGACCTTTAGAATAATTGGATAAAATTCTTTAAAAAATAATCTCATTGGGATTTTGATTGAATTTGCATTAAAACCACAATGGAACTTGGATAGAATTAACATCAGCACAACATTCAGACCAGCTATCCAGGAAAATAATTACTCTCAGGTATTCAAGCATGCTTTAAAAGATACATTTGGGCCTTAGGGGTACGGAATTGGATTACTCATAGCCGCTAGTCCTTGGCACACACTACAGTTATGTGGGCACAGTTATTAAGCTATTATCTCTTGGTTTCAAATTCACTCCCTTGTGAATCTGGGACTCTGGGACACTGCAAACCGCACTTCTTCTTTGCCAACTGGCTGTGTTCGACTCTGCCAATAGGGGGCACCAAAGGGACTGTAGAAGCCTGGAGGAAGCAGTGGGACTGGGCTCTTCTGGTTTGCTCTCTGCTTATTTCCTGTCCGTTTCTTGTTCTCATCAGCATCACCCAGCACAGCTCCTTTACCCCAGATGAGGCAGTTCCTTCCTGTAGCAGCTGCTAAATCTAGTTGGCAGTTTTTCCAAATCTTGCACACCCTCACAGATGCCAGCACCATTTCAGGGTGCTTCCAAGGAAGGTCCTAGTCCCTGGTGGTCCTCTGAGGTCAGATACACCTGCACCATCTGAACAGTCCCCTCCTCCTCATGGTCTGAGTTTCATCTTCACTGAGCCTCTCATCCAAGTGTTTAGTTTTCATAATTCTAACCTATATCCTTTGTTTTTCCTGCACCAGGGGTGTTAGCTGCTTCATGATCGCATAGGGCTCTCTTTCTGCCTTTTCAGTTACCTGGTTACCAACACTTCATACCTAAGTAAGATTTCTTTATATGAAATCATCTCTGTGAAAATAACTGGTGTGATTTCTGTCTCCTGAATATATCTTTTTTTAAAAAAACATTTATTTATTTATTTATTTATGGCTGCGTTGGGTCTTCGTTGTGGTGCACGGGCTTCTCATTGCTGTGGCTTCTCTTGTTGCAGAGCAAGGGCTCTAGGCGCACAGGCTCAGTAGTTACGGCACACGGGCTTAGTTGCTCCGCGGCATGTGGGATCTTCCCGGACCAGGAATCGAACCCGTGTCTTCTGCATTGGCAGGCGGATTCTTAACCACTGCGCCACCAGGGAAGCCCTCCTGAATATATCTTGGCTGACATCAATATTGGCAAGAAGCAGATTGTCAAAAGATGGGGTTTGGAGGTGGTTTAGTTGTTTTTTAGGATTTGAACGTAGTGATGAGCTCTTTGCCAAAAAATGGGATGCTAGTAATCCATACTCTGCAGTGGCATCATGGTAAATCATATATTAGCATCCATGTTGACTGTGATGAGGTTCCAACTGAAATAAGTGACTTGGGGGATCAAGTAGCTACTGCAATTAACCTTTAGGGCACTAAAAATGCCCTAAAGGTTACTAAAAATGGGCACTAAAAATGGCCACAAGGATAGTGATATTCAGTTGAGTCTTTTACCATGTTTACCTTTTTTTAATTTTAATTTTTAAAATTTTCTATTTTTTGGCTGCGCCATGTGGCTTGCAGAACCTTAGTTCCATGAGCAGGGATCTAACCTGTGCCCCCTGCAGTGGAGGCATGGAGTCTTAACCACTGGACTGCCAGGGAAGTCCCTCAGTTGAGTCTTGACTGCTATGGTTCTTGGTGCAAAGAGTAACCTCAGGAAACAGATCCCCAAAATGGGATTCTGGGATTAGGTGTTCATCTGCTTGAACTTCAATGAAATGATATCTATGTAGGGGGAAAATGGGATTACAGTTATCCCTAGAATACATTGTGTCTAGGAGGAATATAAAATGTTGTAATTCTGGTTCTTTTACCCATTAACTATGTATCCTTGTGTAAATAATTTATCCTCTCTGGACCTAGTTCCTCCTCTGTAGCTTCCTCAGTTCAGGCTGCAGGTTGCTATAACAAAATTCCAGAGACTGGGTAGTTTAAACAATTTATTTCTCACAGTTCGGGAGGCTGGGAAATCCCAGGGCAAAGTGCTGGCAGATTTAGTGCCTGGTGAAAAGCTTGCTTCCTTGTTTGCAGATGGCTGCCTTCTTGCTGTATCCTCACATGGTAGGGAGAGAGATTGTCTTCTTAAAAAGGCACTAATCCCATCATGAGGCTCCACCCTCATGACCTCATCTGATTACCTCCCAACGGCCCATCTCTAAATACCACCACATTGGGGATTAGGGCTTGAACATATGAATTTTGAGGGACACATAGAGTCCATAGCACTATATAAAATGAGAATAATTATTCATCCTCTGAGAGATTTTAGATCCCCCAGTTCCCACTGTCTTGTTGGTACAAACAGAACCACATTAATAAATCTCATACCTGCTATCTTCAAATCTATAAATCAATTGGAGAGAAGTAACATCTTTATAATGACATCTTATAAACCATGAATATGGTATAACTCCCCATTTGTTAAGGTCTTTAACTTCTCGCAATAATATTTTAAAGTTTGATGTAGAGATCATAACTTATCTTTTGTTGGATTCCTAGACATTTTTTAGTTTTATGCTACTTAGAAATAGCACCTTTGAAAGTTTTTCATTTTCTAAACTTTCATCACTGGCATACAGAGATAATTTTTTTAGTCACCTTTTATTCAGCTTCCTTGCTAAACTCACTGATTTTTAGTAATTTATAGATTCTGTTGGATTCTCTCTGATTATATGTACCGTTATGCCATCTCAGAATAATGATAGTTTTCTTCCTTTCCTATCCTATAGTCTCTCTTTTCTTACCTTATTGCAATGGTATTAGAAAAATAGGGGTTACCTTTGGGGTAGAAGGAAAGGGTAGTGATTGAGGTTCAGGGAATGCTGGTCAGGTGTAGTTTCTAAATCTTGGTGGTGGTTACACAGACATGTCCACTTCATGAATTCATTGAGCTGTTCACTTTTTGTGTGTGTGTGTGGTATGCGGGCCTCTCACTGTTGTGGCCTCTCCCGTTGCGGAGCACAGGCTCCGGATGCGCAGGCTCAGTGGCCATGGCTCATGGGCCCAGCCGCTCCGCGGCATGTGGGATCTTCCTGGACCGGGGCACGAACCTGTGTCCCCTGCATCGTCAGGCGGACTCTCAACCACTGCGCCACCGGGGAAGCCCTAAGCTGTTCACTTTTAACTTGTGAACTTTTCTGTTTATATTTCAACTGTACATTTAAAAATAGTATTAGTGTGGTGGTTTAAAATATATACACAAATTGACATTCTCTTCAAAATATGTCTGCAAATTCTTTGACACACCCTGTGAGTATGATCTGGACTTAGTGACTCAGTTCTAGTGAATATAAAAAGAGAAAATGTTGGTATGCAACTTTGAAGACTCGGTCATTAAAGGCATCTTAGCTTCCTGCTTGTTCTTAGACTGCTTGCCCTGGGGAAAATTAGCTGCCAAGAGAAACTGAGGCCTCCAACCAAAAGCCATGTGAATGCGCCATCTTGGAAGTATAACATCCAGCCCCAGGCAAGCCTTCAGGTGACAGCAGCCCCACCTGATATCCTGACTGAAAACTCTTGAGGACCCCGAGCCAGTACCATCCAGCTATGCCACTCCCAGATTCCTGACCCTCAGAAATGTAAGATAATATGTTATAAGCAGCTAAGTTTTTTGGAGGGGAGGGTAGTTTTTTTACACAGTGGTAGACAATATCACTATCTAGTAAAAGTCATCCTAAAAAATGTTGGCTTGACAGGCTCAAACTGCACCACAGAACCTTATTTCTACCCCCTGCCTCCTTTTCAAAGAACTGTACTGGACTTCCCTGGTGGTCCAGTGGTTAAGACTCTGAGCTCCCAATGCAGGGGGCCTGGGTTCGATCCCTGGTCGGGGAACTAGATCCTGCATGCCGCAATGAAGATCCCACATGCCGCAACTAAAAGATCCTGTGAGCAGCAACTAAGACCCAGTGCAGCCAAATAAAAAAAGCAAATAAATAAATAAATATTAAAAAACAACAAAAACCCAAGAAACTAAAGAACTGTACCACCACCGACACCCTGTTGGCTGAGGACCAAGTCACAGTGAGCACAGAGGCTGGTGCATGGTGCGTGTGCAATTTTCCTGGCCCTCTTTTGGTGCCGAAAAGGAGATGGAATTCATGCCAGCATGAGGGGCCATTTATTGCTCAGGGGTTGGGCCCCCACGTTTTGGGGGAGTTCCCCCATCACTTCCTCCCCCCATTGTCCCCATGGACCCCTCGAGTGGCAGGTTGCTGAGCTGATCGTGGAGAGAGCACATCTTCAAGTGTAGATAGTCCAGAGCGGCCACCTTCTCCCTGTAACGAGAGAGTGGGCAGTTAGTACTTGGGAGGCCCGATGCCTCGGGGCTGGTGTGGAAGCCGGGGGTGACTCAAGCCCTTTCCCCAAGACCTCACCCTCCTCCCATGCCCTCAGCCTCCTTCCTCACTCCGGCTTCATCTTGTCCGTCAGCAGCAGGTTCTTGGCCCGCAAGGCTTCGTCTTGGGCCAGCCGAAGGGTGGAGCTCAGGGCCTCTGCCCTGACGTGTTTGGCCAAGGCCTGGCGCTCCAGCTCCTGGGGAGAGGAGTGTAGGTGCTGCTAGGCTTGCTGGACTGGGCTGGGAGTGGAGGGGGATCTGGATCGTGGAGGGCAAAGGGCAGGGTCCCCTAGGGCCCGCATTCCTCCCCCAGAGTATCCCATCATGCCTTGAGCCTGAGGCTGACCCCAGCATCCCACAGTGCACTGGGCCTCCCAAGTCCCATTGTGCACTAGACTTGTGTCTGTCCCACTGTCTGTCCCCTACTGCACTGGCCTTCTTTGTCCCTGTAAGCAGTAAATCAGCATCTATCACATTGTCCCCTAATGCCCATGAGCCATCATGCATTTGATGTCTGGGCCCCGGTATCCCATCACATGGGGATCATCTACATCCCATAATTCACATTATGGGATGTGACCCCCACATCTTATCAATTAGGCCAGCCTCTCAGTCACAGTAATAGTCCTCAGTGCTCTGGTTCCCTATATCCCACAGTGTACCAGCCCCCATGTCCTATCACGTCTTAGTCCTCTAGATCTGCCACATGACTGTCCGTTACTGCCTCATTTGTCTGTTTCACCCACTACAACTCATATCCCATCATACATTAGGCCAATATCCCATAATATACTAGATCTCTATGTTTCAGAATGTACACCAGCCTCAAGTTCCATCAGTTATTGGGCCTGAGTCTGTGTGCAATGGCTCACGAAGAGCTGTGGTTCCATTTCCCATAATGCATTAGCTCACTGTGACCTGCTATTCGCTGGGTCCCCTCTCTGATCTCAGTGATCCCATATAATGCATTGCCTCTCTTAAGTCTCACAGAAAATCAGGCTTATATTCCATGAAGCTATAGACTGGTGTTTGTCTCCTCTGTCCCACAGTGCACCAGATCCGTGTCCCATCATGTTTTGGGCCCATATCCATCACCCAAGCTTCCACAATGATTGACCTATGACTCACTAAACACCAAACAGCTCCCCTCTCACCCCGTCCCGAAGTATTAGAGCCAATGTTCCCCCAACACCTCCTGCCCACAGCTCATCCTTCCCATCCTGCCACACACCAGAAGTATCCTTGTGCCTGGGGCTCCCCCGCCCTGCCCTGACCAAAAAGTGGGGCATAGTGGCCCATGGTGCTTGGTACCAGAATCTTCTTGTGTAGCCTCTGGCAGCTGGGGCAGGCAGGAACCAGGCCCCTCTGCCTCACCTCGTCCACTAGCAGGGTCAGCGCTCGCTCCAGCAGCTGCTGCGAGAACTCCGTGGACAGCTGCTGTCCCTGGCTGGGGGAGGGGTAGTCACCAGGTGAAAGAGGCCTCGGACCAACTCCATTCCCAGGACACACCATGCCCATCTCCCCAGCCTCCACCCAGGTCCCGTTTCCACCATGCGCCCAGGCAACCTTCCCACCATGCACTGGGCCGAAACTACAGTTCATCTGGTATGCTCTGGTTTCCGCAGCGTGGGGAGATCTCACAGTGCCTGGGGATTTCCACCACACGGTCCTCGGTTCATCAAGAACTCACATTTCCCACAATGCGCTAGTTAAAACCGATCCCATGTTGTATTGGAAATGCTCTGCACCCTTCCTAACACAGATCAAGCATGGTATCTGTCGACTTCCGACACCCCAAGGTCTCATTTCCCTACGATGCACTGAGAAAACCTGCCTCCCACCCAGTACCACTGCCCAGCCTTCCCACAATGCACTGGAAATCCAAGATGCTCGAAACATATCAAGTCTTTCTTGCGTTCCACAAGACACTGACTTCACCTTGTGGGGGGGGAAGAAATGTGACTCCCATAATGCCGCGAGACTGCCTCATCCTACAATACATGGGGATGCCCTGTCTCCCACAATGAATTTCCCTCTCCACTCTTGCTAAAGTCTCATCTCCTTCAATGCTTGGTCCTCAATACGATGCAGAATGCACCTGGAGCCAGGCGCTGCCCCCTTACCTGGCACAGCGGGCACAGGAGCCTTGGGGGGCCCGATCCAGGTTCATAGAGAGGTCAGACCCTCTACGAGAGCTCTGAAAGTGCCGCCCAAGCTCCTCCAGAATCGGTTTCACTGGGCCCAGCGCCTCCAGTTCGCTTCTCAGTGAAGCCACAGACACTGCTGACCGCTGCACCCTGCGGTGTGAGAGTAAACAGTACAGTGAGGTCGCCTCTCCAACAGTATACAGGCATCCTCCGATTTTTGAAAGTTCGCTTTACCCCACTTCATTTTTACAAAAGGCCTACATTAGTACCTGTTTTCACTAACCAAAAGAAGTCCGAAGAGGATTTGCCCTTTTATGAAAAAAAGCGCAAAGCATTTGTTTTGTAGCAAGCTGTTACAGAAGCAGGACACACTCCAAGCAGCGAGAGGGGCGCCACCAAGCCCCTTCTCTGAGAACTACACTCAGTGTCTCAGCACCAAGCCACCATAGCTTTGAACTGTGTTGTCTATGGGCACCTGTGCTTTATCTCAATTTATTTTGTGCATCTGTTAGCAAGATGTATTCTAAGGTAATTGCTTCTTCGCTTTATGCTATTTTGGCTTACCAAAGGTTTCACAGGAACTGCTCTACTTTTGGATGGCAGGGAAACCTGTAGTGCCAGCAAGGCTCCACCCCAAATTAGCCCAGCACCTCTGTCTCCACCCAGTTTTCAATACCCCGCTCTGCCTTGCCCCCTCTGCTCTGATTGGTACCTCCTTTTGCATTTTATTGCCGGGAATGTACCTCCCTGTTCTCTAATTGGTTTCCCCTGTTCCAACTTGGCTCCGCCCCTTGTCCTTGTAAGGTGTGGAACTCGCCTCTTCTCTAAGTGGCTCCGCCCCTCAGTGCTTCTTACGTATAACACGCCCCTCCCTACTCTCTAACTGGGGTTTCCACCTGTCAGTATATGCGCTCCACCCGATTGGCCCACCCCTTTCCCTCAAGGCTCCGCCCTCCCACGTCCCCGCCCCGTGCGCTAGTCTGGGTCCTTACATGGTGCACAGCTCTTCCGTCCGGCCCCGCAGCTCCTGCAGGCCCCGCGCGGCCTGCGCCTGCTCGCGCTGCGCTCGCTCCCACTGGCCCAGGAAGCTGTCGAGCCTGCCGCCTAGGCCCCCGAGCAGCCGTAGGGCCTCCTGCACGGCCCCCTCCTCCTGATGCCACCGGGCGGTCAGTGAGGACACCTCCCTCCTGTAGGGGTAGAGGTAAGGAACGCGTCAGGGCTAGGTTTGGATACGCCCCCGTCCGCCGCGCCCCGCCAAGACCACGCCCGTGGCTCCGGACCCACCCTGACCCCAAATTCTCCTGTCCTGTTCACTTATTGGGATCCTCTCATGTCCTCCAGAACCCTGCCTCTATCCCCTTATCAGGTATCCTGGCCTTCTCTCGGCCTGCCTCCCAGCCCCACATCAGCTCCTCCAGACACTGCCTCCTCAAGATACCGCTCGCGCCAACCCTTTGGAGTTGGAGCCTCCAAAGACCTGCCACGTTCCAAAACCCGCCCACCTCATTTTCACCAGACGCGGACCCCCCTGCCACCGGCCCTATGTTCAAAACTCGGTTCTTCGAAGTCCTGCCCTTCCGGGTCACCGCCCCCAGAACGCTCCTCTTCGAGGGTCCACCCCCTGGGCCCATCCCAGGATCCCACTCACCTCAGCTCCTCAAGGTAGGCAGAGACCTTCTGCAACTCCTGCTCGCTCACGATGGGGCCCTCCCCTGCCCGGGGCCCCATTCCCCAGCCGCCTGGGGCCAGGCCTCGCCGTCGCGGGGATTCGTCGGGGCTCCCTGGCGGGCTGGAGCAGCCTGGGGGCTGGGTGGCGAGGCCCATGCCATGGCGGGAGAGGCCAGCCTCCAGCTTCTGCTCCAGCCCCTGCAGCTCAGCCTCCTGCCTCCTGGGCGTCTCATCCTGCATCTGGAGGTAGCGCAGCTTCTCCTGGGCGGGGAAAGAGGGCAGGGTTACTGCGTCCGGCCCCTTGCCTCCCACCACTACCACTGCCTCCACCACCAAATCCGCCCAGTGAATTCCTGAGGCTGGAAAGTGAATGGATGTGGACACGGGATATCGGGAAGTCCCACCTGAAGTCTTGATGGACTCCCGCTTGCTGTTACTAGGGAGGGATGCCCCATTCGAAGCCCAGCTGGAGTCCAACTCACCTTGGACTGAATGCCTGCCTCTTTGTCTCCATCTATCCCTCCACCCTCACTCTAATCCTCGAAGGCATCCAATTCCAGTCCCTCCTGTTTAGGAAGAATAGCTGAAGCTTTTCCAACATTTTGGTGGGAAATGAGTGGGTATGTGGGCAGGACAAGCATTCCCACTCCAAGTCCGATACGAATCCCTTTCTCCGGGACTTGAATATGACTGTGCATGGAAAAGTATGACCATGAACATGAAGGGGCAGTGTGGTGGTGGTGGTGGCAGGGCGAGAAGTCCCACCTGAAGTCTACCTCAAGTACCTCGGTTACTTGAGTACCTTCCTCAAACCCTTAGATCCCTCCCCCTTACCTCCAGCAGGGCAGAGTTCTGCTTCAGGACGTTGGTTTTTATTTCAGCATCTTCCACCGACCGGGTCACCTTCCGGCAGTTCTCCTGGGTCAGGACACCAGGGCAGGGCCCCTGCCTTCCCATTCCAGTTCCGCCTCCCAACCCTTACCCTCGCTATTTTCGATATAGCCTCCACCCCCCGCGTTTAAGGCACGCCCCCTCCTTCCGCAAGGTCTGCCTTCTGCTTATTGGTCTGCCCTTTCCCGGCTTGGTTCCCTTGGCTAAAGAAATGGTTCTTCCTCGGACCTCTGCCATACTCCTTCTCCACTTCACCCCACCTCTATCCTGTCCACCACTCCATTCCGCCCCTCTTCCTCTCACCGCCTTCCTACTTCCGCTTCCTACTCCCGCCCCGTTCCTGCCCCGCAGCGGCTCACCTTGAGTTGACTACAGTACCCTCCTAGTTCTTCCGCCTCTTGCCGCCTTCTCTCTAGATTCTCACTCAGCACAGAACACTCACTCTGGAGCATGGAAGGGAGGAGAGGTTAGCCAGGGCCTCAAGGAGACACCCCGTGGGGAGGAGAGGTGGGAAGCTTCCTTTCCCTTCTGAGCCTCATTCTCCCCAACTGGGCTATGGGTGCATTGAGTTGGAGGATAGCTCTAAGAGGGCAACGTGACCCTGGAGGAAGAGGAGATGTTGCGGGAGGGGGCGGGTGGTCCTCACGACCTGCAGCGTCTGCACGTGCTGGTTAACCCGGGTGGTCTTTTCCTTCAAGCTGGTGATGGAATCTTTGGCGTGGACCAATCCACTGTTAACCCAGCTCTGGGGAAGAATGGGAGACAGGTGGGTCAGTGGGTGCGTGGGAGCAAACCCCAACCACAAGAGAAAGTCTAGAACTAGCTTTACACCTTGATTCTGCCCTGGAATAGCTGTGGAATTTGGGGCCAGGGCTGCGCCTCTTTGATTCTTGGTATAAAACCAGGGGGCAGCCTCGTTTTCTGCTTAGCGGATGGCAAGAAAAATAAGTAGGATCCAGGAGGGAGTCGGGGGTGGGAAGCTCAGACATGGGGGAGAAGGAGGATGGTCTTAACCTGAGATAAATGCCTTTGGGGTCCACATACATAAATAAGATAAACTGTTAAAACACATGCCTGTCTTTCCCTCCAGGCAGTGGAGAATTCTAAAGATAACCCACTTTCCAGATATAAGCACTCACTATGCACCAAGCCAAGACCTTACCCACATTTTCCTTTTTATTCCTCACAGCCACACCTCTTGAGGTTATTTGCCCCATTTTGCAAGTGAGGCAAATGAGGCCCAGAGAGGGGATGTCCCTTGTACTCCCGGGTACACGAGACAGGAGGTGGCCTTGTCAGAATTTATGCTCAGAGCCTTTGTTTCAAACCATGACGCCATATGGCCTCTGTTCATTGCTACCTTATGTCACCATGAAATGCTTTGTGACTCCTATCAAACAAACTGGCTCAGGAGGGATGAATATCTATCATGGATCTCCACTCTCCCATTTCCACATTTATAGAAGAGTTAGCCTGGTACATCACTGCTCAGCCAAAGACGACAATTCCCAGCTGCCCTTACAGCCAGGTGTGGCCATGTGGAATATGAGTGGAAATAATGTAGGCAATTTCCAAGTCATGCCTTTAATAAAGAAAAGTAGCACACCTCCCTTTCTCTCTCCCTACAATGTTGATCGCTAAAGCCAGAGCAGCCATCTTGGACCATGAGATGGAGGACACAATATAAAAGAAAACTGGGGCTTCCCTGGTGGCTCAGTGGTTGAGAGTCCGCCTGCCGATGTAGGGGACGCGGGTTCGTGCCCCGGTCCGGGAGGATCCCACATGCCGCGGAGTGGCTGGGCCCGTGAGCCATGGCCGCTGAGCCTGCGCGTCCGGAGCCTGTGCTCCGCAACGGGAAAGGCCACAGCAGTGAGAGGCCCGCATACTGCAAAAAAACCAAACTGAATCCTCAACCCTGTGAAGCCGCCATACTTAATTCCAACCACTTATGAATACTTTTATACATGTAACCAAGAGAACATTTTCCATCTTGTTTAAACTATGCTACTTTGTACCTTTTTGTTACAGCAGCCAAACTTGTGGCTTAATAGCTGAGCCCCCAGAACACTGGAGCCTCTAACCTACTGCATTTGAAGAGACCTGCTATCCTTGAGACATTTATGTGAGCAACAAACTATCCTGCTTCCACCAGCTGTTTTGGTTTCTTTCACAGCTGTTGAACTAATACACAAAGAGAAAAGAGAGAGCAAGCTTTCTCCATTGTAAAATGGGAACAACTTCACATTTCTTGCGTAACTGCTCTGGAGAACAAGTGTGATAAATATTGTATTAAGGTGACATCAGCAAAATGGTGGAGTCGGGAACCCCCAAATTCCACCCCTCCAAACTGGCCAAAACTATGAGTCAAGTCATTGAGGGGATTATAACAATCATAAATATATATGCACCTAATAGAGCTTCAAAACACATGAATCAAAAACTGTTAGAATTGGGAATTCCCTGGCAGTCCAGTGGTTAGGACTCTGTGCTTTCACTGCTGAGGGCCCCGTTTCAATCCCTGCTCAGGGAACTAAGATCTGCAAGCCCCACAGCGTGGCCAAAAAGAAAAAAAAGACACTGACAGAATTGAAGGGAGAAATTGACAATTTAACAGTAATGGTTGGAGACTACAATACCTCACTTTCAAGAATGGATTGAACAACTAGATCAACAAGGAGATAGAAGACTTGGACAACACTATAAACCAACCAGACCTAACAGGCACCTACAGAACATTCCACCCAACAAAAGAATACACATTCTTCTCAAGTGAAATTAAATGTTGTTCATATGGTCGAGGACAGACCATATATTAAGTGACAAAACAAGTCTCAATAAATTTAAAAGGATTTGAAAACAAAGTATGTTTTCTGACCTCAATGACCTCAGTAGAATGAAATCAGGAATCAATAGCAGAAAGAAATTTGAGAAACTCACAAATATATGGAAATTAAACAACACACTCATAAACAGCCAATGGGTAGAAGAAGAAATCACAAGAGAAATTATACTTAGGAATGAGGGAAAATGAAAACACAACATACCAAAACTTGTGGGATGCAGCAGAGGCAATACTTTGAGGGAAATTTAGAGCTGTAAACACCTACATCAAAAAAGAATTTAAGGGCTTCCCTGGTGGTGCAGTGGTTGAGAGTCCGCCTGCTGATGCAGGGGACACGGGTTTGTGCCCTGGTCCGGGAGGATCCCACATGCCGTGGAGCGGCTGGGCCCGTGAGCCATGGCTGCTGAGCCTATGCATCCGGAGCCTGTGCTCCGCAACGGGAGAGGCCACGGCAGTGAGAGGCCCGCGTACCGCAAAAAAAAAATAAATAAAAGAACTTAAGGTCAGTAACCTGATCTTCCACCTTAAGAAACTAGAAAAAGAAGAGACAACTTAACCCAAAGCTAGCAGAATGAAGGAAATAATAAAGATTAGAGTGGAAAAAAATGAAATAGAGAATAGAAAAACAGTAGAGAAAAATCAACAAAACCAGAAGTTGGTTTTTTGAAAAGGTCAACAAAATTGACAAGTTTTAAGCTAGACTGACCATGAAAAAGAAGGAGAAGGCTCAAATTACTAAAATCAGGAAGGAAAGAGGACATTACTACCAATCTTACGGAAAGAGAAAAGATGACAAGGGAACACTATGAACAATTGTATGTCATCAAACTTGATAATCTAGATGAAATGGACAAATTCCTAGCAAAACACTAACTTAAGAAGGGCTCGGACATCTGGATAGACCTGTAATAAGTAAAGAGGTTGAGTTAGTAATTTTAAAACTTCCAACAAAAAAAGCCCAGATGGCTTCACTGGTGAATTCTACCAATCATTTGAAAAAGAGTTGCTGCCAATTCATCTCAAACCCTTCACCAAAAAAAACCAAAACAAAACCAAAAAAACCCAGAAAACAAACAAAACAGAAGAGGAGGGAACTAACTCATTCTATGAGGCCAATGTTACCCTGATACCAAAACCAAAGACATCACCAGATAATAAAACTACAGATCCATATTCCTTCTGAAAGCAGCCACAAAATTTTCAACAAAATACTGGCAAACCAAGTCCAGCAGCATATAAAAAGGATTATACACCGTGCCAAGTAGGATTTATCCCAGGAATGCAAAATCGGTTCAATGTGAAAATTAACCCATGTAACATTCCGTATTAGTAAAATATAGGGGGAAAAAACACAATCATGTCAATGAATAGAGAAATAGCATTTGACAAAATCCAATGCCCTTTCATGATAAAAACACTCAACAAACTAGAAGCACAAGGGAACTTGCTCATCCTGGTGAAGGGCACCTACAAAAAAGAAAAAAGTTTAAAACCAATAAAACCCACACAAAACCATGGTGCTTTAAAATATGCCCACAAAGTTTTTGAGGCTCTTTTAAAATGTGCAGCCTTATTCCTGTCACTTGAGTGTCAGCTGGACTTAGTGACTCATACCTAGTAAATAGAATAAGGCAGAAGTGATGGTATGTGACTTAAGAAATGAGTTCATAAGAGGAACCATGTCTTCCTTCTTGCTCACTCTTACTCTGGAGAATGATAGTTGCCATGTTCTAAGCAACTACCTATGGAGAGGCCCGTGTGGCAAGGAACTGAGGCCTCCAACCGAGAGCCATGTGAGTGTGCCATCTTGGAAGCCCAACCTCCAGCTCCAATCAAGCCTTCAGATGACTGCAGCCCCTGCCAAAATCTTGACTACAACCTCATGAGAGACCCTAAGCCAGAACCACCCAATTAAGCCACTCCAGGTTTGTTGTTTTAAGGTCGGGAATCATTTGTTTCACAGCAATAGCTGTGATATTTTTAAACTGAAGACCCAACGGTCTTGGATTTTCCATAGGTAGCTGTTCTGGGAAACTAGGGGAGCAGGTTCTGGAGTCAACTCAGTTCTTCCACTTACTAGCTGTGTGACCTCAGGGAGGGGACTTCACCTCTCTAAGCCTCTGTTTCCCTACCTGTAAAATGGGGAGGGACTAACAACTACCTTCACAGGGCTGCTGTTGGGAGGAACACAGGCTAACACAGAAAGGCCCTTGGTCAATACTTGGGAAAAGAGAAAGTGCAGCTGGGGTCACTGGGGGTGAGTTTTAGCTTTACTGCTAGCCTTGGCTAAAAAAGCGAATGGCATGGTGGTGGTGGGGAGCCAAACCTGGGGATAAACCTCTCCTTGGCCATCCACATGCCATGCAACTGGGCAATCCAATTCCCCACTCCGAGCCTGCCTCGGTTTCCCTTCTTGTCAAATGGGAATGAGGATACCTTGCTCAGA